TATACGGTTATTTCATGCTTGTTGGCCAGTAATAACCATCGATGCCACTCACGTGCGAGGATCCTAGAAAGGAAAACTAATTGTGGCATGCGTAAAGTGCGCAAATGGCACGATTGTTCCCATCGCATTTGCTCTTGTGGACGAAGAGACTATACACACTGGAAATGGTTTTGAAGTATTTGAAAAGTTTGTTCTACGGGATAGGAAGACTGTATTATCTCCGATCGAAATCGGGGTATCCTTACGCCATGGACATCATGTTGCAAAATTCCCAGAGATGGGCGTCCACCGTTATTGTCTAGAGCATGTTAAAGCAAACTTGGTTGGGCATTTTCGAAAGGAGAAACTGCGAGGCAACTGTCAAATGATTGGTTCAATGACGCAAAGACAAGGTTCTTGGCGAGTGGCAAAAATTAGAAGAAAAATGAGCCTCGCTGCTCGTTGGCTTGAAGTCGGGTGTTGAGAAATGGACTGTTTACACGATGGAGGGCATCGTTGGGGAGAAATGACCACTAACATTTCAGAGAGTTTCAATAATGTGCTGAAAGGTGCTAGATTCTTCCCGATCACAGCATTGATCCTAGCATCCTTTCGAAAAGCAACAATGCTTTGTGCAAACATTGATATGATCCAAAATGTCGACTGTTCTACCTCCTACTCTAATGAAACTGTATGAAGAGGCCCGGAAGAAATCGTTGAGGCAAAAGGTCAACCGGTTTAGCAAGCGAAACCAGAAGTACGAAGTGGTTACAATAGCACCTGATAATCAACCATGGAAGGCTGACGAGAAGCAAGTTGTGCTGTATGCAAATCGAGAGTGCACTTGCGGAAGGTGGCGACTTTCGATTTCCTTGTTCCCATGCACTTCGAGTTGCCCGTGAGCTAGGTGACGATCCCTTTCCACTTTTTGATCCATGTTACACTACGCATCAATGGTACCAACAGCTTTTATGGAGAATTCAACCCAATCATGGAACCATGGCCAAAGGCAACGTGGCGATCGTGCCGATGACACTAAACTTGTCCACCATGCTGGCCGAGGTCGGAAGCGTGTGAATCGAAAAAAGGTGTGATGGATTATACAAGCAAATCGCCGGCGAAGACTCCAAACTTGCGGTTTATGTAAGCTACAAGGCCATAATGCCGTGGCTTGGCCATATGCGAGAGTTTGCGCACGATGTGGAAGTTTAGATCATGATGTTTGTCGAATGCCCTTTTTCTCATCCACCGCCGACAGGACCGGTATTGATAAACTGTATGATCCATATGGAATTCATGGTGTGCCTAATATCAATTCGATGATGATGATGATGAAGCGTAGTGATTATTACGTTAGTGTTCGTATTTTTGTATTGTTTTGAAAATTCATGTAGTAAACCTCGGAGGATGATTCGGTTTGCGTTTGTATTTGTTTTACTATGTTGGTTTGGATGTTTCGTAATTTATATTAGTAATGTTTTTGTAAAACCGAAACGTCGCAGTTCATTTTAGTAATATTATTAATTATTACTATAGGATATATACATGTCGAATAAAGCACTAGTTATTTGATAAACAATAAAGGTAAGAAAATTAGTTATTTGTCATCACCGAAATTAATATAACCATATATCCGGCTTAAAGAATAAATGACTAAAATTTTAAATTGGGGGAGTATTATTCTCGCGTTTGTGAAACGCGAAACAAGGGGGAGTATTTTTTTCGCGTTTCAGAAACGCGAAAATAGGGAGGGCATTATTTTCGCGTTTCTGAAACGCGATTTTACTTAAAGCTTGGTTGTTTTCGCGTTTTAGAAACGCGAAAATGGGTGCATAAATTAAATTTTCGCGTTTCGGGTTGATGTTTCTCAAACAGAACCATATATCCGGCGTAATCCATTGAAACCGGCGGTTTTTCCGGGAGAGTTGCCGGAATTGTTTCGGCATCAATTTTTTGCATTTTGTAAGCTATATATCGAGGTAAGTTGTGTTTTTTGGTGTGATTTAATCGTTTCTTTTTAATTCATGTTTTAATTTTCGATTCCTATAAATTTTGTGTTCGTTTTATTTGTAATTTTATTTCCCGATTTAATGAATCGTTAATAGATCTAGTATTATAGGTGTTGTAATTGTGGAATTTTTTAAAAAATTCGGGTTTGGGTTGGGTGATAAAATTCCGGGGGAATGAATGGGAGGGGGCGGCGGAATGAAGGGGAGGGTGGGGGGCGGCGGCGGAATGAAGGGGAGGGTGGGGGCGCGGCGGAATGAAGGGGAGGGTGGGGGCGGCGGCGGAATGAAGGGGAGGGTGGGGGGCGGCGGAATGCGGGGAGGGTGGGGGGCGGCGGCGGAATGAAGGGAGGGTGGGGGCGGCGGCGGAATGCGGGGAGGGTGGGGGCGGCGGCGGAATGAAAGGGAGGGGGCGGCGGCGGAATGAAGGGGAGGGGGGCGGCGGGGAATGCGGGGGTGTAGAGAGGGGTAGGTTTAGGGTTTATGGTTGGGCTTAGGGTTTGTGGGGTGTTGGGCTTAGGGGTTTAGGGTTTGGGGATTGGGTTGGGTTTAGAATGTGGGTTTAGGGTTTGGGGGATTGGGTTGGGTTTAGAATGTGGGCTTTTTGGGTTGGGGATTGGGTTGGGTTTAAAATATGAATTTTGGGTTGGGTTTAGAATGTGGGTTTTGGGTTGGGGATTGGGTTGGGTTTAGAATATGGGTTTTGGATAATAAAATGTAGGGTTGGAATTTTGAATGTATAGGATAATTAGATTAGAATAATAATATTAATCTGTATTTACTAAAATGTAGGGTTAAAATATTTAATAAAATAATAATTAGATTAGAATAATAATATTAATCCGTATTTACTAAAATGTAGGTTTGGAATTTTTAATGTATAGGATAATTAGATTAGAATAATAATATTAATCTGTATTTACTAAAATGTAGGGTTAAAATATTTAATAAAATAATAATTAGATTAGAATAATAATATTAATCCGTATTTACTAAAATGTAGGGTTAAAATATTTAATAAAAGAATAATTAGATTAGAATAATAATATTAATCTGTATTTACTAAAATGTAGGGTTAAAATATTTAATAAAATAATAATTAGATTAGAATAATAATATTAATCCGTATTTACTAAAATGTAGGGTTAAAATATTTAATAAAAGAATAATTAGATTAGAATAAAAAAGAATAATAATATTAATCCGTACTTACTAAAACTATTTGTAAATTGTACTAGCCATGGACATTGGATCATCTTCTTCCTCCCAATCTACCTCAAAGAAGCTACGGCAGGGACCCAGAGACAGTAGTTTGTTGTTTCTCCAAAACGCCCATAGGTCACACAATATATTCCATGGTGCACAGTATGATATAGGGATTTCGGAGCCCAGGCGCGTAGATAGCGCCGCGTGGAAATTAATAAAAGATGCACCGAGTTTGACAAAGGAATATATTGAGAAATTTGGTTTTGGACCGTTCTCTAGAGTTGGGTCCATCAGATGTGACCATGCCCTGCTTACAGCTCTTGTGGAGCGATGGCGCCCAGAGACCCATACATTTCATTTACCTTTTGGGGAGGCTACTATCACACTCCAGGACGTTGAGGTTCTTTTGGGCCTTCGGGTTGATGGACGTCCAGTTACAGGACATCACACCACGCCTGATGGTGGTTGGGCAGCCTATTTGGAGAGGATGTTTGGATTTAGGTTCCAGACAGAGGAGTCTAGATTGACGAGTGTTTCCATCACTGAAATAAAGACTCACATAGAGAATAATCCTTTGACGGACCTGTCCCCTGACGATGCACACCTACAGCGAGCCCGTTGTTTTGTTGGATGGCTCGTTGGTGGATTACTGTTCTCAAACACTACGAGAAACAGTTTTCCTCTCGATCTTGTGCATTTTCTTCATACTCCCGAGATTTGCTCGAGTACGGTTGGGGTAGTGCGGCACTATGTTACTTGTACCGCAGCATGTCTAGGTCATCTCTGGCCACTTCTGCCAAGGCTATTACCGGCTGTGTGATTCTTCTTCAGGTATTTTATCTTTTCATTTCTCTCTAGTTTCATTTTATATTCTCCCATTATTATTGGTGATTTTAGCTAATGATTTCTTCATTCGAATTAGCTCGGGCACGGGAGCGGATTTTGACGGTTCACCCAAGATACTTGGGTAGGGATCTCGATCTATCCGATTGTCCATTGGGCACGAGGTAATCTTATACATCAAACCTTCGTAAATTTTGACATTTTGATTTGTACTTGTCATGTCTCAATTTAATGTTACTTTCTCCGTGCGGGTGGTCCCGCGAGAAAAAGTTCAAGGTATCACGCGATTCAATTTGGCGCGTATCGGGATCACTTGCGCTTCTCGCGAGTCGATGTTAGTATTCTATTCAATTAGTATAACTTATGTTTTATTCGTTTTTTTAACGGTGTCGAACTTTTAATTACACGTCTCTTACTTAATTACCATTGCGGTTTGTCCGGATGCCGTACACGACTCTTTTGGGTCATATTGCCGTGGTTTGTCTTGTGGGACGGGGCATATGGCGATCTCGGACATGGCTCATCTGCGGTGATGTCGTTGCGCCACACAACCCCAGTAGGGTATTTCGCCAATTTGGTTATCACCGGCGGATACCCGCGACGCATTACTTCTCACTGCGCGGAAATTACTAGCCTGCTCAAGAGGAAGCCGTTTGGAGGATCCGATAGGAGATGGTTACAACAACTAGGGATATATCTCCGTGTTTGGAATGATCGCCACGGCCAAGTTGTGGGACTGATGATCTTTATGTTGGCGAGCCTTCCGCAGATCCGGAGTATCTCTTGTGGTACCATCAGTTCTTGTGAAGTATGTTACGGATCCGACGGACTCGAAAATGCGAGGGTTTTCACGGTTCTGAGACCTTGCGCCTCATGGTGAGTATTTCGCCTACATCCATTTGGTTCTTTTTATTAACACCGTTGTCGATTTATGATTCTTTCTAATAAAAATTTCAGGCCACATTGATGGAGGACGTTCGTAGTCCGAGTATTATAGGCCAGCGTACTTTCGACGCGGACTCCTTTGGTTATGATCGCTTAGGCGAGATTGCCCAGTTTCTTGAGCGGGCGTTGTCCGTCAATGCAACAAATGTTGTACGGCACGATCTCGATAGGCATGTTGAGGTTCATGACATTTTGAGTCAAGAACTTGCACTGTGGACCCGACCCAAGAACATCCACCACCTGCACCTCCGAGGCGTTCGCGCAGGTCTCGGCGTGGGCGTGGGGGCAAGAGACAATCACAACATCTCAGCCACATCAGTCCTCCCAGCATGAGCGGTCTCATATTCCCTTCACCGGCGGTTCATCCCATCGGTCCTCCACATCGAGTCTCCACTCCATTCTCGACAAAGATTCAGCCCATCGGTCTCCACATCATTCATCCCATCAGTCTCCACATCATTCTTCGCCGACCCATCAGTGCGTTTTACCGTCCGATTATGTCTCCCAAAGACCAAGAGTCCAATTTTCCTTCACTCGCTTTTCTCCCCTCAGACTTCTCAGCGTCAGTTTGGAGATTCTTTTATTGACTTTTCTGGGTTTCAGCAGAGTTCGCTAGATGGCCAGTCGATACATTACACGAGTAACTTTCTTTCGAGTATGTTCGAGGGTGTTGCGGGTCAGCATCAGGCTGATAACCCAGCTGAGGGTGAGCGTGAGAGTCAGGGTGAGGATGAGGCTGAGGATGAGGATGAGGATGAGGCTGAGGATGCAGACCAGGATGATCAGTTTGAGGGTCAGGGTTATCAGCGCCATGAGGAGCAGGGATCGAGTCAGACTCTAGGGACTCCACCGTTGGCTGTGAGTAAAGGCCAGAGAGTGACGAAGGAGCCCGATAGATTGACTTATAGCCTTTTTCGGGCTAAAAAGCCCAAGAAGAAGTAGGGTACTAGACTTCTTATGTAGTATTATTAGACTTGTATTTTTTTTCCCTTTTGTTCATTTCTGTTTTTTTTCCTTTTGTTATGACTTGTTTTATTTTTTTTTACCTTTTGTTATGACTTGTAGTATTTTGTTATGACTTGTATTAATATTCTTAATAGTTTGATTTCACCTGCATCGTAAATACAATAATTAATATTTATAAAACACATCTTCGCCGATCAAATCGAAACACATATTTAAACTTTCTTATATTGTTTTTCATAATTAATAGTTGCTTCATCTTAAGTGTTGGTAAATTAAAATAAATATTTAATAAAATTTATTCTTATTTTAAGCTTTTTTCTTATATTAAAACCATCATAATTAATAAAATTAATTTGTAAATTAAATTACATCTCATTAAATCCATAAAATTACGTCATTATCATTATTGAAAATTTTTCATATAAAATTATTTTTTAAAATAATGATTACATTTTTAATAAAAATTTTTAATATAATCATTATTAATTTTTTTATATAATGTTCTAAAAATTAATACATTATAATAACTATATCATACTTTTAATAATTTATATTTAGTATAGCTCTATTTTATTTAATGAGTATCAATTATAATATTATATTCTTATTCAAAATTTAATTTTCGTATTATTAAAATTATCAATATAATTTTCCTCTTTATAGCTCTATTCAAAATTTAATGATTAACAGTTATAATTTTAAAATTTTCTGTTACCATTATTCAAATTTAATAATTTTTTGAAGTCAATTTCCCTATAACGTTTTAAACTAGTCAAATTAATCATATTTTTATGCCTATTTCTTTTTTTATTAAATAAAATATTTTTTTAATTGATTTCGCGTTTTCAAAACGCGAAATCTTGTTGATTCAAGTTAATTAATTAGGATAATGTTAAATTAATTTTTTCTCCTTCTTTTTCGCGTTTCAGAAACGCGAAAAATATACATTCGCGTTTTGAAAACGCGATTTTGTGTTTTTAGCGTTTTCAAAACGCGGATTTTGATTTTTTCGCGTTTCTGAAGCGCGAGAAAACTATTTTTGGCCACAATTTAAACCCTAAACATATTTTGTTCTTCATTTTTTTTTTCAGTTACTAATAAGTAAATTTTCCTATGAAAATGTGGTCACTGCTAAGCATATTGAAGAAGGTATTTTTCTATTCCGTGCCTGAAATCTTAAGAGCAAGGTCCCTGGTCTTTTTCATATCATCCATTTATCCTAAAACCTTGGACTCCAGATTGTGATATAGAAATTGATAAAGTTACTAGCTTTCCTGTCTGGGTGAAAATACCACAGTTGAGGTTTCACCTATGGTCTAGCTCCATCTTAGGCAAAATTGCTAGTGTTTTGGGAAAATCCATATGTTCTGATGGTATCACTGCATCCCAAGGTAGATTAAACTTTGCCAGAATTTGTGTGGAGATTAAAGCAGGTACTAAACTTCCTAATGTTATCACTCTAAAGGCTCCTAGTGGTGAAATCATTGAACAACCTCTAGAGTATGAATGGGTCCCCTCCAACTGCTCCTTTTGTAACTACTTTGGTCATAGTACTGAAAGTTGCAGAGTTAAACCTAAGCATCATCCTCAATGGCTGGCCAAAAAAAGCATGCATGTCTCTCAAATTGCTCAACGTGAAAATGTGATTGTTGTATCATCGAATGTTGATATAAGCGAACCAGGACCTGCTCTTAGCCCCAATCTAAGCAACTCTGATCTTAACTCCAAGCCAAGCACATCTGGCACTAAGGATGCTATCCCTGCTCAAGAACATAGGCAAAGAAAGGAAAACAGTGAACCAGGGGAGGAGAAGGAACACGTTATTACTCAGATTACAGACACACAAGAGCATCTACCACCTGTGTTGCAATCTGAGCCGGAAGGAGATGACCAGGTAACCACTGATCATATTGGCCATATTTCTTTTACTATCCTACAAGGGTGTCAGTCTTCTGAACATGAGAATAATCCAGGAAAAAAGTATGATAAAATTACTCTGAGAAATAAAGGCAAGTCTTGCCTTTCCAAACCGGGTTAATCTATGAGAGTTGCATGCTGGAATATAAGAGGACTGAATAATCCTCTTAAGCAAATGGAAGTTAAAAATTTTTTGGCTACTCATTATCTTGATATTTTCTGCTTAGTGGAGACAAAAGTAAATAGTACCAATCTTAATTCTGTCTTGAATAAGTGTTGCAATGTTCACTCTTGGCAACATGTTCATAACTTTGATATTTCGCATAATAGTAGAATTCTTGTGCTGTGGAATAATGATAAGTTATCTTTGTCGGTCGTTCAAAGATCGCCTCAAATGATCCATTGTGACATTGTGATGGGCTCTTTCCATGGTGTGATAAGTTTTGTCTATGCTTTCAACAATTTACAAGATAGAGTTCCTATGTGGCTTGATTTGCATACTCTTGCCTCCAGTATATCATTACCTTGGGCTATATTGGGGGATTTTAATAGTATTGCTTCTCCTGATGAGAGAATTAATGGCAGAAGAGTGACATGTAGGCATATTGAGGAACTGCAGTCGTTTTTTATGTCATGTCATAAATCAGATTTGCCTTTTTCTGGTTGTTTTCATACATGGTTTGATAAACATCTGCAAGGTGCTAGAATTTTCAGCAAGCTTGACATGATTCTGATTAACAATATTTGGCTTCAATCAATCAATTCGGTGGCTGAATTCCTACCTCCTGGTATCTCTGACCATTCACCTACCTTGCTTACATGTTTGCCTCATATTAAAAGGCATCCTCCTTTCAGGTTTTGTAACCATTGGTCTCTAGATGATAGTTATCCACAGGTAATATCTTCTGCTTGGTTATCAAGCCCATGCCTTAACCTTTTCCACCTGCAGGCTAAGCTTAAGGAGCTAAAGTGTGTCCTTAAGGCTAAATATTCTCATAAGACTAGGTCACTCTCTCAAAGAGTTAATGCTGCTAGATCTCACTTGTATTCAATCCAGCAAGATATGCATGCTGATCCTTGTGATTCATCTCTATATGCTGAAGAATCTGCTGCCACTTCTAATCTTCAGAAACATTTGAATGATGAAACTTTATTCTTGAAGCAAAGGGCTAGAGTCAAATGGGGGTTTGAAGGTGACCAGAATACAAGCTACTTTCATCCTTGTATCAAACAAAGAAAATGTGTCAATTCCATTACTTCTATCCAAACTACTGCAGGAACTAAACTCACAGATGCAAATGAGATTCAACAAGAATTAATTCAATACTTTCAATGGATATTAGGGGCTGACTCTCATGTGTCTCCTATTGATCAGGATCTTGTTCGAATGGGCTCTTCTATTTTAGAGGACCACTGTTATTCTCTTTGCAGGCCTGTCACTGAAGATGAAGTCAAGAAGGTTCAAGATATCCAATGATTTGGCACCTGGTCCAGATGGATTTAATGCCAATTTTTACAAATCATCTTGGAGTATTGTAGGTAAGGATGTTACAAGAGCCATTCTTAATATTTTCGACACATGTAACATGCCAATTGGTGTTAACTCCACAGCTATAGCTCTTGTGCCTAAAACTCGGTGTCCTAACACTGCCTCTGACTATAGACCTATAGCATGTTGTAATGTGATTTTTAAATGCATTTCCAATATTATTACTGAGAGAATAAAGGAGGTCATTGGTGAAATAGTTGGTGATGAACAGGGAGCTTTCATAAAAAACAGAAGTATCACTCATAATATACTCCTCACACAGGAACTAGTCCATCTTTATGGAAGAAAGAATGTTAGCCCAAGATGTGCAATAAAAGTTGACTTAAGAAAGGCTTATGATTCTATGGCTTGGCCTTTTCTTAGGTCTTCGCTTACTGCTCTTGGTTTTCCTTTGAGGTTTGTCAAATGGATTATGGTCTGTGTTACTTCCCCTCATTTTTCTTTAATTATTAATGGGGAGTTATCTGGATATTTCCCTGCCAAAAGAGGTATTAGACAAGGTGATCCATTGTCGCCTTATTTATTTACCTTAGTCATGGAATATCTATCAAGATGTCTTAGACGAACGTCAAGTGCTAGAGCCTTTAAATTTCATCCTAAATGCCATAGGACCATGACCACTCATTTGTGCTATGCTGATGACCTATTTCTGTTCTCTAAGGCTGATATTCATTCCATTGAACTCTTGCAAGGTATATTATCTCACTTTGCTGATGTCTCAGGCTTGTCCTCTAACAATATTGAAAGCATCATTTTCTTTAGAGGATCTAGCATGCATATCAGACAACAAATAACCCAATGTTTGGGTTTTCCTGAAGGTCAACTCCCGGTCAAGTACCTTGGAGTACCACTAGCAACTAAATCTTTATCTATCAATGATTGTTTACCTTTGGGGAAAAAGCTTACATCCATTATTAGATGTTGGTCTGTAAAATTTTTATCTTATGCTGGAAGGCTTGTTTTGATCAAGTCTGTTTTGAAAAGTGTCCAAGTATATTGGTCAAGGATTTTTATTATCCCCAAACATGTACTCAAACATATCGACATCTATGTCGGAAATTTCTCTGGACAGGTTCTGATGCTCCAACAAAGAAATCACCTGTGGCATGGAAAGATATATGCAAACCATTCACTCAAAGTGGTTTAGGCATTAGGGACTCAGTATCATAAAACTTAGCCTTGATGCTAAAACTGTTGTGGGATATTGCTCTGAAATCTGATAGTTGCTGGGTCAAATGGATTCATGAATACTACTTGAAAAATCATGATTTTTGGAACTACAGGACCACTCAAAGTATCTCTTGGATTATGAAGAAAATCATGAATTTGAGACAGCTTGCGCTACAATGTACTGACAGATCTGCCACTGGAGTTCTTACTTGGAAAGGTAAAGGACATGCATTTTCTTCATCTGGTACCTTTCTAACTATAGTGCCTGATTACCCTTCTGTCCAGTGGTATAAATTGATTTGGGACAAATATTTTGTCCCAAAGCACAGTTTCATAGCTTGGCTAGCTATAGTTGGTAGACTTCAGACTAAAGAAAGGGTGGCTCTATTTGATCAGTCTATTAAGGCTACCTGTGGTTTTTGTAGTATGCAAAGTGAATCCAGAGACCATCTATATTTTGAGTGCTTATTCTCAGGTCATCTCTTTAACCGTGCTATGAATCTAGTCCATGTTTCTGCTCCTTTGATCCCATGGAATGATTTGGTATCTTGGATGATGTCTCATTATGGATTCAGCTCAGTTGCTGATAGCATTACTAGAAGAACTTTTGTATCAACTGTCTATTTCATTTGGGAAGCCAGAAATAGACTTATTTTTAGAAGTGAACCTCCTAGAGGGGTTGAGATTGAGCAGAAAATTAAGTTCACTTTGAGTCTAAATTTGGCAAAGATAAAAAAGATGAAGAGTACTCAGAAAAACAAACTTTGGGCTACGAAAATGTGTATTAGTCCAGTTTTTTCTTGATAAATTATTTTGTATTTTTGACAAGATTGTGTCTTGGATTGATTTAAGTGGTTCTATCTTTTGGTTTTGTCTAGACACTTGTGTTTTCTGTATGGAGTCTGTACTTTTTCTCTTCATATAATGGAATAAATACAATTTTTATTCCAAAAAAAAAAAAAACACAGAGGTCCTTTAACAAAACTCATAACCAAACCATTTTAATCATTAAAACTCTGTGAAATCCAATTATAGTGTTATAGCACCAGTTTGACCGAAAACAGAAAGACAAGTAGGAGCTCACTTACAATTTTATGTTGGGCCGTTCCCCCCAACTGGGCCCAACAAGGTTTGAAGCCAATATCCAATTGGATTTGGTGTTTTGATCGGGGAGAACAAACCCCTTGGGGTTTGGTTTGTTTGTTTTTTGACTTGACCGGGGGCTATAAAAAGCCTTGGTCCTTGGTGATTTTGGCCGTGAGTTCAACCAAGAAAAAGGGCAGCCGTGCAAATATTTTGTGCACAAGAGAAAAGAGAGAAAGCTAGGGTTTCTGGGGTTTTGGCATTAGGAGAAGAAAGTGTTTCACTTTAATACTTTGATCGGGTGACGAAACAGAGTCAGTTATTGGTGCAAGTTTGCATGTGTGTTCCTCTCAACAAGATCTACAATTCCTTTGATCTACAATTCTTCTGGTTTAGTTTTTGTTTCGCTCTCTTTTGTTGAGATCCTTCCAATCACAACTTTGTGATTTAGGTGTTTGTTTGGATGAGGAGTTTTGTCGTAATCCACCTTTAGGTGAAGTCCTGTGTATCCACTTTCTTTTCTCTCTGATACCACTATTGGGGATTTATACGGGAGAGAAAACTCGGCATGGAGCTCAATAAATAAGATAAGACCCATATGGACTCAAAAGGTCAAGCTAATGGGTTGTGAGTTAATCTTACTTATTAACTGATTCACATGTCCTCATGCCTCTGATGTGAGATTCACAGCCCTTGCCACATGACCCTCAACATTCTCTCCCGTCATGGGCAATCTCCACATCAGACTTCCAAATTATCTTAATAAGCCCAAATCTGTACTCCACTCGCGTAATTGGGTCACCCATCCTTACATTTTCGCTCGTAGTGGGGCTTTGACTGCCTGAGTTCAGTCAGATCAACCAAAAATAATTTGGGCTAAACACCCACCAACCTGGCCCAACCTGGACTTTGATACCACTGTTGAGATTTATTCGAGAGAGAAAACTCGATATGGAGCCCAATAAGTAAGATAAGACCCATCTGTACTCAAAATCTCAAGCTAATGGGTCCTGAGTTAATCTTACTTATTAACTGATTCCCATGTCCTCATACTTCCGATGTGGGATTCACAGTCCTTGTCACATGACCTTCAACATTTTAAAATTAGGATCTTCATCTTTTTCTTCTGTTCTGTGGAATAGAATTCACATGCCAAATTATTTAATTTGACTTTGTTTACCGGAGCGAGAAGAGAGAGTCGAAGAAGAGGTCAGTGTTGTGGGGTGGAGTTCTCCATCTAGTTCTGCGAAGAAACCAAAGAGAAGATGGTACTGGCAACCGGAAGGAATGAAGAGGAAGTAGAAGAGTTGGAAAGCAAC